GAATTATTTACTTAATTAGTTATTATCTGTTAATTAATTAATTAATTAATTCGCTGTTAACTAGTTAATCAGTTAGGCATTAAAATTAGATATTGACTAATTAAGTAATTAAAATGTCTGTCACAGTCTGTGGGGATGGCGCGAAGATGAGTCGGTCCAAATTTCTACCCTCTATACTTCAACACTCCTTTTAGATCGTGTCTCACAATAAACCACACCAATACTATGAGGACATAAAGCTTTAGTCGGATAAACTGATGACAAAACGTTTCTTTTTCTTATCCAAATAGATTTTTCATACTTTCGTTGAAGTTTATAAACATTTGCTATACCATTATGACAGATAGCAACATGTTCATTTTGTTCTCTATCATGTGCAATTCGAAGAATTTCCATATGCCTATCGTATGATTTCATTGCTTTGTTTAATTTATTTAGCTAATGATAACCATTGCCAACATTCACATACATAGTATTGATATCTGACCAATCTCTGAGATTTTGTTTGTTTTTAATTTCCAGAACTTTCTTCAAAAATTGAACGCTCAAATCATATTTGGCTATTCTAGCAAGAGTTTTTCCTATATAGTGGAAGCATTCAGAGACTATATGTGAATTGTCGATCCTTTCTGCTTCTATCAAAACACAAAGAAAAAATGGTTCAACTTCTGTAAAACAATCCTGTTTGAAGAAGCATCAAAAATGAATACATAAACACAATTTACTTTTCTTGTGTTATCTTTCATATCATTATCAATGTAATTGCATAAACCTATTTGAATACTATGGGTTTCATCTTTTTGTTGAACATGATCCGGATAAAAAGATATTACCTAATGTAAGTAAAGAACTTCATTTTCATGAGAAAAATAACTATTCAGAAGTAGTGTTAACGAATAGTATAACATCGTTGAGTCTCGAATCAGCTTTAATTTCAAATAAAATTCTTTCAAGACCATATCATGATCTTGAAAATCTCGAAGGATTAACATAATATATTAGTAATTTAGTTAGATAGAAGAAAATGATATAACTGAAATAAAATTGCTCATCCACTTATAAAATTTTGCAACTTCATTTTTAGACATCAATGAATTACGGTAAGCTCATATAAGAGTTAATATGATTGCCCTAGTGAAACTACTCATCAAGCGAGTACGACTTGCCAGCATGAGTACTCAAATTACTCGTACGAGTACTTCAAGAATTTTATGTGTATGAATACTGTATGTGTACTCATACGAGTACTCATACTAGTTTTTCTTTGCAGATTAACTCACAGAAAAAGACGCGAGTACTCAGTGTAGTACTCATACGAGTTTTTTCGCAGAATATTTAGTGAAACATTTATGCATTTGAATGAACAAAAATAAATTGAAATTATGTAATAAAGAAAAACGATGTAATTTTAGATGAAAAATAGAGAAGAACTGTTTTAATGAATTCTATATTTTATCCT